AATTGGAAGCAATTAATGACATTGTTATTTTTATGATTATATTATCCCTTATTCTTTCAAATTTCCTGTTCTGCTCATGACATGTGAAAATTTGAAGTTGTGTTGGTAGTGTGGTTCGGTTCTCCGCTGGGGGGCCACGCTCAAGCGTCAAAAAAGGGATTATCCCGATATCGGAATTCCACTTAGATCAAAATAATATCAAAATAGTAAATAATAATAACATATAATAATAATAATAATAATATATAAGAATAATATATAATAATAATAATAATAATATCTATCATCTAGGCGACGCAAATGGCGGCCGCAGTCTTGGCTCATTTGTTGTGATTGACAATTTGTGTTTTTCAAAGTAAATAATCGATTTTTATGTGTTTCTTTACAAGTTGAGCTCTTTACGCTTCTTGAGTGAATAGCGTTGAGCTTCAGCAACAATAAGTTATCAGATGCCCAATCGGCAAATGTACCAGGGCAATGACCCTGGAAAAGAAGAACAAACGCTCATGTGGGCTCAGAATTCCTACATGGCAGACTCAGGTATTCATTCTGGTGCGACTACCCAGGCTCCATCTGTCAAAGATGAAATCGATAGCGACCAGTTGATGTTCGATTTGGATCATGGATTCACTCAAGGCTTCACGCAAGACCAAGCGCAGAGTGGTTAGAGGAAGTTAAGTCCAAAGTTAACATCAAGGATGAAATGACAGAGCAAACGATAAGCGAAGCAGATGTTGAGGGAGCCCTTAAAAAGATGCTGAACTGGAAAGCCCCTGGCCCCGACAAGCTCCAAAATTTCTGGTTGAAATCCTTCAAATCAGCGCACCAGCAACTTGCTCGGTGTTTTGGACGGTGTTTTGGAAAAATCCTTCAATGCCCGGAAGAGCTGCCAGCATTCCTAACAACTGGAATCACATTTTTAATACCCAAAACGAAGCGGTACTCAGATGACCCTGCAAAGTATCGGCCGATCACCTGCCTTCCCACAGTTTATAAGCTGTTAGCGTCTATAATTTCAGAGAAGATCTACAAACATCTTGAGCAGAATAAGTTACTAGACGAAGAGCAGAAAGGATGTCGTAAAGGCTCAAGAGGGTGCAAAGAACAACTAACAATCGATGCAGTAATTACTAAGACCGCTATCAACACAAAGGCACCTCTTTTCACAGCCTATATTGATTACCAAAAGGCATTTGATAGCATTCCCCACTCCTGGTTGCTAGAGGTCCTTGAAATTTACGGTATCAATCCGAAATTTATACAGTTCTTAGCACAGACTATGAGAAGCTGGAAAACCGAGCTCTGTCTAAACACACCCGGCCAACAGCTAAAAATAGGGACGATTGACATCAGGCGCGGCATCTTCCAGGGGGACTCTCTGAGTCGCCTGTGGTTCTGCCTAGCCTTGAGTCCACTGACAAAGTTGCTTGGCAGGCTGAGGGTGGGGTGCAATTACGGAGATTGCAATATATCACACTTGTGGTACATGGATGATTTGAAATTGTTCTCCAGTCAGAAAGAGAACCTTCACTCGATGTTAAATATAGTAGGAGAATTCAGTAGCGACATCCAGATGAAGTTCGGGCTCGATAAGTGTAAAATAAGCAGCATAGTCAAAGGTGTTTGGTCAGCTCACGAAGGTTATGAACCTGCGGGACAAGAAGGGAAAATAGAAGGTATGCTTGAGAATGATCAATATAAGTACCTGGGGTACTTGCAAGCGAGAGGAATCCAGCCTAAAGAGGCAAAACAACAAGTTTCTGATGATTATAAGCGAAGGCTCAGGTCAATACTAAAATCTGAATTGTCCGCACGTAATCCAGCGCTCGCGATCAATACGCATGCTACCTCACTGTTGACCTACACATTTGGCATTCTCAATTGGTCCAAAACTGAGCTCAACGCCCTGGACATTGCAACGAGGAGGGAATTCCGAAAGTATCGTGCCCATCACCCTAGAAGTTGTGTTGAAAGGTTCCACTTGCCGCGAGCGGAAGGGGGCAGGGGGATCCCAAGTGCGATGCGCAGACATCATCAGCAAGTTCAAAATCTAAGGAAGTACTTTCTTGACAAAGCCAAGGAAAGCAAGTTGCATCAGGCCATCGCGCGTGCGGATAAAAACATCACGCCTCTGAATTTGAATGATCATACCTTCAACCCAGTAGAAACGCTCCCAACCACAGAACAAACAATCGGGCAGTGGAAGGCTAAGCCTCTTCATGGACGGTACATTGAAAGACTCCATGAAGACGCAGACATAGATGCTAAAGCTTCGCAATCATGGTTGCACTCAGGAGGTTTATTCGTTGAAACAGAAGGGTTCATAGCTGCCTTTCACGATCAAGTAGTTCCGACAAAATTAATCAAAAGCGGATAATGAAAGTAAGGGTCGACAACGTCATGTGTCGTATTTGCGGAGCGAAAGAGGAAACCCTCGACCATTTATTAGCTGGATGTTCCAACTTGGCACCAAAGCAATACCTTGAGCGGCATAATTCTGTGGCAAAGATAATTTATCAAGAGCTGGCTAAAGAACACCTCAACGAAACGGACATGAAACCTTACTATGAGTTCGAACCTCCCCAGGTGAAAGAAAATGATATATGCTGCCTCTATTGGAACAGGAAGATTCGCACCCATAGAACCATTCCTATCCCAGACATAGTGCTCACAATGAAGGATGCCAAAATTGCTTTCATAATCGATGTAGCTGTGCCGTCGGCAGTGAATATCCAGAGCGCTTATGCTGAGAAGATAAGCAAGTACATGCCATTGGCAGACGAAATCAAGTGCCTCTGGAAATTGGACAAAGTAATAATTGTGCCAATTATTATTGGAGCAACGGGGGAGATTCCTGTGAAGTTGTTTGATAGTCTTAGGAAGATCAACCTTAGAGAGAAGCTGTATCAACACTTGCGGAAAGCAGCTTTGCTAGGGAGCTGCAGGATTGTGAGGCGAGTTTCGGGTGATGGATAGTTACCACCAACCGATAGATTAACCTGCATTTTAAACTTCAACTCTTAATTTCTACCCCAATTTTAAAGTTTTAACCCCAATTTTAAGTTTTTTACTCCAATTTTAAAGTTTTAGTCCCAATTTTAAATTTTGTACTTCAATTTTAAAGTTTTAATCCCAATTTTAAATTTTTACTTCAATTTTAAATTCAAGGACTCTCCTTTGCATTGAATTGCCGGGGGGGACTAAATATCTGCCGGCCTCGAGCTGTGAATTGAGATACGAGAACATAATAATAATAATAATATAATAGTATATCAAAATAAGGCAACCGTGTGACGTGACGTGAACTTAAAATATGTGGTTGAAGCACTCAGTGGGCGAGTCAAACAAACAATTGCTCCTTTGACAGGTCCAAGTGGGTAAGTCATGTGATAACACCGGATTTAGAAATGTTAATGTCGATACGGTGGAGACGGAACTACATTTTCTACGTCATGTACGTCCAGAGATCAAGGTCGCAGTCTCCAGACCTCCCTAAGTGACATCTCCTTGGTACACTTGACGTGACGAGTAGAGGAAATTAATCAGACGTATTCAAAACAGACAGAGCCGAAAGATGGCCGAATTCGCTGCTATGACATTTACATTCCTGCGGACTGATTATTAAAATTGATGGACAAAGCGATAGACAAAGAAGACATAGGGAGTATGGAGCGATCTTATTGGTTGAAATGGGTGGTTCCTATCGACAAAGGAAGAAAATGATAGACTTACTGTCGGCTTTCTCGTGGGTTCCCGTTAGTTAGTCGATTACCTACCTCCTTTGTCCGTCGCAACGGCCCACTTCCACCAATAGGATCTCTCCATATCTCTCTTGTTTCCTTTGTCTATAGCTTTGTCTATCAATTTCAATAATCGATCCGCTGCTCAACCAATTGCCAAATCGTTTCGCCTTCGAAGCTTGCGACGACGCACGATGGATCGGGTCAATAGAAGAAGTCGGACAAAATTTGGAAACCTTAAACGCTTTTAACTCCATTATTACAAAACTTTGAGGTTCTGAAAGTGGTTCCATTGGTTTTCTCGTGAAATTTTCTGCTCAAAGCACCTCTTGAAATGAAAAATGTGACGAAATAAACATCAGAATTAGCAGTTTCAATAAAAAATATCACGTCCGACCTCTCGAATTGACTTTAGCCACTGTGTGACGGCCTGATCTCAAAATCTGAGATAAATGATGCGTACCTGAAAAAATGGAACCAATCGATGACGAAATACCCATCGAAATTTGCAGTTTCACTGGAAAAAGAAAACACAATGGACGTAGAGTCCAGACTCTTGAAAACACTGACAAGAGAAAATACTCTTGATTCAATCGGATTTTTGCTTGAATCAAAACGAAATCCGCTTAAATTAAGAGGCTTGGCTCTTGATTTAAGCTAAATTCTGATTGAATCAAGAGCACTTTTTCTTGTCGGTGTTTTTAAGAGTCTGGACTCCAGATCCAATGTGTTTTTTTTCCAGTGCACGTCGTTTTGACACGAAATATTGCGTCCGTCGGATCACTGTAGGAGTCAATTTGCCTTCCGCGAATTTTGTTTTACGTGAAATTTTCGTCAAGCCAGCTCTTCCACCTAGAGCTGTGTAAGGAGTGGATTTCATTATTTTGGTCGAGCGAATCGTGTTTTGCGTGAGATTTTAGCTGAGAAACATGCATCAGGACGCTGAACTTCGTAGCTTGTCTAGTGGTACATGAATCGCGGACCGAGAATCGAAAGGTCTTCCTCACTTCGGACGAACGTAAAGTTTTGACCTGCCACAACGGGACAGATCAAAAGTGGTCAGAGCTTGAACGGAACTTGCCCCTGTTATCTTACTGCGTGTCGGACTCAAAGGGCTTCTTGGGATTCCTACACTGTCTCAAAATATTCGTATCCTTTGAAGAAGATCAAAACGTGCTTATCGTCTTTTGATCGTTGATACGGGGTGAAACAAACATAGAGTACTCCGAGTCGCGATGTGAATGGGAGAGCTGGGACCATGTCCTGGACGACGAGTTCCGAGCCCGCACTGGGAAAAAAAACACATTGGATCGAGAGTCCAGACTCTTTAAAACATCGAGAAGAAAAAATACTCTCGATTCAATCGGATTTTTGATTGAATCAAGAGTATTTATTCTTGTCAATGTTTTCAAGAGTCTGGACTCCAGATTCAATGTGTTTTTTTTTTTTTCCAGTGCGGTGTGCGGGTCACTTTTTCGATACATGTTCGATCCAAAATGGTGGTGTGGAATACGTACGTATACCTATCTTCTTTGTTTACATCGGATGGCCGGGCCTCCGTGTATCGCAAATAATCGATTATGCATCGAAAAAGTGACCCGACGCCGCACATGAGTTATCGAAGTCGGGACCTGGGAAATGCTTTAAAGTATGGGTCTCAGCTCTCCCAATCACGTTACGACTCCATGTTCTCTATGGAAACAGAGTTGACTCAGTCACTGAAAACCGGGAAATGTCAAGAAATTGAAAAAAGTCAGTGAAAATGACGAAAATTTCAGCGGAAAATTGTTAGGTCATTTTCAAGGTGTCTACAAGTCCGGTAGTAGTACTGATTTTTAAGGGCGGGCCCGAAGTACTAAAGAAATGCGGAAATTCCACACAAAGGTCCGGAACTTTTTTAAATATTTTGTCATTTTTGTCGCTATTTCAAATTTTTTAAGTTTTCTAATTTCGTCGAATGGAGGTACTTAAAAAGTACGGAATTTTTCTTTTGGAGGAGGTAGTGCCTTTCTTGAGAATGTACTCAAAAAGTACTGTAAAAGTACTTATTTTTGACCAGCCTGTTTTAGTAGACACCCCGATCATTAATTTGGTTTTTATAATGGGCTCGAAATGTTGCCCAATTGTTGTCAAATGTTGCCTGAAAACTATTTCTCACCATGTCTTTTTACCATCTATCATATCTTCAATTGTTCTATCACATAGGATTTCACCAGAATGTGCCAGGGAAATCATGGAAATGTCAGGGATTTTCATTTTCTGAATTCTGCGGTAACTTTGGTGAAAGCAAATGTTTGCTTTTTTGTAGTTATGGTAAGAAGATATAAAAGGAGGGAGCTTTTCCGCACAAGTAATTAAGAAAGTAAAGAAAAAAAAATATTCGGAATTAAAAATTTTAAAAAATCAACTCCCTTGCGACGAAATTCTTTTGGTATCGATCGACGCGTTTCGAGCTGTGGCTCATCATCGGTGTGACTTTTTTGAAGAAAAAAAATCAAGGTAAGAAAACTCGGCAAAACGAAGAGAAAGAGAAGAATAATCAAGTTGGATACTTAGAACATCTTCTTTGTAATTAAATTTGAATGTGAAACATGACAATGGCATTACGAACATTGAATAAAATTCGTCGAATCATTGTAATTCTAGAAATATGCCGACACATCAAAAGAGATTTTACGGCGAGGGGTGGTTAACTGAAGAGCATTTACAAAAAAGTTTTTTCTTTCAAAGATTAGCACGGACTTTCTATGAGCAGTTTTGGTTCATGAAGTGTCGTCGGTTTCTCACAAAATTCCGTTAGATGCGCTCGAACAAACTTACTCTCTACCACTCTGACCTGTAAAAGGTTGAGCTGCATAATTGAGAAAAATAAACAAGTATTAAAATAATCCCCTTTTTTTCGGCTGAAAAATAGGCATCTAATTAGTCGTTGGTTTTCAGCGGGGAGACTTCCCAACTCTTGCATGTTTTAGTTGGTTACTTCAGCTTCAAGATCATGAGCTCGTTTTATTTTTACGGACAAAATGTGATACAACCCCCCCCCTTTTTGAGTATTTCATACTCAATCCCTTAAGATGTTCGATTTTCGCCCTGAAATTGGTTGTTTCCTAGAAGTAAAAAATCGAAAAATCGACTTCTCCTCTCGCCGCTGTTCTTTTCCAGTTGTCCACTTTTGTAGAACGCGTGACATTTTGTCGTGCGCTTTTTTTACTTGCGTCAGAGAATACACGGAAGTTGGAAAAATATCCGAACGGTAGCCTACTCCTGGAAAAGATAAAATAATTATTAATTTTACTCTCGTCAGAGAACACATGGAAGTTGCATCCCTAACGATGTTCGATTTTTGCCCTGAAATGGACCGCTAGACAAGGTATACATGTATCTCAACCAAAATTTCACGTAAAACACGATTCACGCAACGGAAATTACTGAAACCAACTCCTAACGGAGATATTAACATTTTTATATTACATTAGTTACGAGGAATTTGAACTGCCAGCTCACAAGAACCTCAAAGCTGTACGTGAGTCAAATCGCGCACTACAACGGTTTCAGCAAGCTTCTCAATCGAGCAATGTTTATTTCCCACCATATTTTATTCAAACTATAAGTAATTTGCTATAGCTGAGCCAAAGCGTCAAGATTGAGGTTGCCAAATTTGTATATCGCTTAGATTGTCATGATAAAAACGTGTAGCGGGCGATGTGAATCACGTAGAGAATTGAGTTTTCATGAGCGGGTGGTTTCAATTCACACACCAAGAATCATTAAATATCTTCGGAAGGAGTTGATTTCGGTAATTTTCATTGTGCGCATCGTGTTTTACGTGAAATTTTGGTGAAGAAACGTGTATCAGAATGCTGAAATTCGTACCTTGTCTAGTGGTCCATTGGAAGTTTCTTAGAAGTGGAAAATTGACCGCTCCTCGGGCCGCTGTTCCTTTCCAGTTGTCCACTTTTGTAGAACACGTGACATTTTATCGTGTGCTTTTTTTACTTGCGTCAGATCATACACGGAAGTTGGAAAAATATCCGAACGGTGGCCTACTCCTGGAAAAGATAAAATATTATTAGTTTTACTCTCGTCAGAGAACGCACGGTAGTTAGAGATCCGCATAGTGACCGACTCAGGTGTACCGCAACTTCCTCAATACATTAACGCTGATTGATACAATGCGGGTAATCGGGGAGTCCAGAAAACGTAAAATAAATCAGTACCAAACCAACAAAAAAGGCTGTCAATATTATAAAACGTGGATGTCAATTTTGAAACGCGTATCGAGAAGCGAGTGACGCTTTCTCATAAGTCGTAACGGCCAATTATTTTAAGATTCTCTCTCTGGAGGATGGTGTGGCGTGGCGTTAAGCAGCTGATCCAGGCCGACGCGGCAGCTGTTTCAAAACGCATATTCACGCCTACAAGCCTGCAGGAACACTTCCCGCACTGCGCGTATACCACGGTTCACAGTGCACAGCGGGCAAAACTTCCCATCAAGCGTTAGAAGAGTCTTGGCGCCTAGAGCGAGCGCCTGTATTCAATGAGTATCGCTTAAACTTGCGTGGATTACAATTTATTGCATTATAAACCTTATAAATCCAGTATTCAACTCCTTATTCCGCGTTGAAGGGTGCGTAAAAATTGTCTCCAGTGACTGAGGTCAGAAGAAAAAAGTCTGATGTGTGTTGATGCATCCAGCAAGCACATGTTGAAACAGCATAAGTTTAAGCCTTCCGTAAATATGCTTCCTTAAACTGGTAAAATACAGCTAGGAATAATGAATGTTAATTTTTCTTTTTCCTCATTCTCATTTAACTCCTTCAAACGATATATTATGCGGTACAATTGAAAGATTTTGGCTCTGGGAGTCGCAAGCACTCTGAAAATGACTCCGGGGTTGAGTCACGTTGACTCAACCCGGCAGAAAGGAAGAATATGAAAAACTAGAGCGTTACTGCTGACGGAGCGACCCGGAAGCCGTCACAGCAGTCCAGCAATTCCAGCTGCTCATAGGACGTTTTAAATGTGGGGGGGGGGGGGAGGGGGTGTCAGTTTTTTAAAAAATTTCGCTCCGATACCATCCCACTTAATCCTAGAACTCTGAACATAAGTTCGTAAGCGGGCTTTCATTGAATTGTCGAATTTAGGTGTAAAAATTCCCATACCTTTGATGTAGATTGCGACACTTCCTTTAGGGGGTTCTTTGATACTAATCGTCCTCTATGGATCCCATTCTCCGAAAACGTACATCACCCTGCTAACATCCGGAATTCCTCCGTAGTTCATGTTCGTTTCTTTGGCGGCTGACTCCATGAATGATACGTTAAATCTAAAATTGTGAAACCTCAAAAATTTTAAACCTTTCAAAGAGAGACGCAAATTATTACACCGTGGTCCAAATGGTCCACGCTTTTCACCGCCGAAAATCCGAGAGGCTTAGAAATCAATAATTTTCGGTTCATGGTCGTTTCTTTGGCGGATGACTCTACGAATGATACATTGAATCTGGAACTGCGAAACCTTCTAAAACAGGATGCATATTACATACTTTGGTCCAAATTGTTTATTTTTTTTTACCACCGAAAATCCCAGAGGCTTGGAAATCAATGATTTTCGTTTCATGGTCGTTTCTTTGGCGGCTGACTCCATGAAGTGAACATTGAATCTGGAATTTTGAAACCTCAAAAAATGTGGAACCCTTTAAAAAGGGACGCAAATTATTATACTGTGGTCCAAATGGTCCATGTTTTTCCCCGTAAAAAACCAAGAGGCTTAGATATCAGTGATTTCCGGACCGTCTCGGTTGTAATGTTATTGACCAGAAAGCCGCATGTTACCCTTAAAATCAGAGTTTAGTAATTCTTAACTTGCATCGCGAGGAACCTCACCCAGCCCAGCCCAGCCCGTCTGTTTGTTGAAAATGTTTTCCCCGTATGGCGGTTACCATCGTTCTTTGAATACGTTCGTACGTACGTACGCAAGTCACGTATTCCTACCGACATCTTCCTTCGTGGTCTCATTAATTACTTATGGTAGCCATATCCTCCCGGTTACGTGTTTTAGAAGACACTTGACGCTTGGGGGGGAGGGGGGGGGAGATTTTGTTAAAGATGTATCTCTGGAGGTTTCGCAGGTGGTACATGTGCATTAATTCTGGTGAGTTTAACCTTGGAGTAGAAATCATCAGTTAACTCATCTTGGAAATAATTTGTATCTAAAGAAAGGATACCTGGAGTCAAATGCGTCCTTGCAGATGTTTGCGAAAAAATCGATGGGGATTCTACCACCAAACATGTCACTTTTTCCACTGGATGTATAGTGATACCAACCAGTCTCTGTGCATGACTGGTAATAAACCTGTCGGACTAAAATGCAAATAAATGTCGCGAATAAGCAGGAGCACATGAATTGTTCCAAGAAATTAACAAGTTAAATTTTCAAGTAAGTGTAACTAAATGATTTAATATTAGTGCTAAATAATCTCATCGAGGGAAAATTGGAAAGATCCATTGAGAAAGTCTCCGAATTTGTGATGTTGCAGACACAACCGATTGCGGTCAACCGGATGGACAGGAAAATGCAGATTTTTTTTTTTTATTTATTTTCTTCTCAAAATCTAACAGTGACTAGGAAACGGTTGTTGATGTAACTGCTGTATGACCAATTTCCTCAAGTAAAGTTTTCCTTTACCACGAAGTATGTCGTGTAACATAGCATTAGTGAACAGAATGAGAATAGGAGCCGAAGGAACGGGCCAGTCGTGCCTACCATGGATTCGTGTTTTGATGTTTGCATTGGTTGTTTCATTTGGAGCAGCCTAAAATAATTAGCTCTCTCCAAACAGCAACTTTTTTAGTTCAATTCTAACCGAGATATCACACTTTTGAAAGTTCTGTTTATGGCGTCATCCAATGCGGGAGTGACACCTTTGGTTTCTTCTACCTTGCTTTCATCCGAGTTTTACGTTGAGTAACTCGTGAAACAGTGCGTCTTCCTGACAAACGATCAACGTGGAAGAAACCGAGGGTGTCAATAGCGAGGGATGACTTCATGAAACTAATTTTTCAAAGCGTGTCATCTCGGCTAATATTGAGTGTAGAGAGATGCTTTTAGTGCAGATCTGATTAATTTTAGCTGATATACAATAAATCATCACGGTTTTGTGAACAGCGCAGCTGACCTATTGATTTTTAATCATACCCAATAATCAATGCTCCTTGGAGAGGCGTTTCTGGATGAAAATACATATACGAACGTATCACTGAAAACCTGCCACTCAGTACTGGAACGCTCTCTTCAATAACGAACGAATTCTAATCAATCTTTTACGAAGACTATAGTGGCCTTTTCGTAGGAGCTACGTGTCTCCTCGAATCGCGGAATAACCTCTCTGTGGTAATTAATGATTGACGCCTGATAATCTGATACTTACAGCTTCTCCATTTGTTATATGTCGTGTTCTTCACCTCCTCGAGGTAAGTTTCGTATCTATGGTCGTAGCACTTACGCATAATAAAATTCGAATGCCAATTCGCAATTCGCTGGACCTACAGAAAAGACAGCTAATCAATGCAGAGTGTGCAAACATTTCAAAATCATGAGTTAAAGAACGCTGACTATGCGAGTATAAATAAATATCAAAGCCTGACAGAGCGGAGCGGCGTGCCGCCAGCGCGAGAGGCTCACTGGCGCCTACAAACCTGAGTGGATACTTCACGCATTACACAATGCTTGAAGTATCCACTTAGGTTTGTAGGCGCCAATGCGCGTTTAGCGCTGGCCGCTCGCCCGCCGCTCGGCGGCGCCTGGAGCAACTATTTCACAACAGAGAGCCCATTTATGCACGCGATTCGTGTCGCCGTGTCGCCGCAACGTTTTTTGGAATCGCGCGATCCATAATTTTTGTCGCCGCGACACCGTTTTTCTGGAGCGCAAAAGGTCCAAAACACGTGCTCACTTTCATTTTGTTCCCACGTGTTTTTTGTCTGGATCCGGAAAAAGGATGAATCCCGTTGTTTTTTACATTTGTTTTCGGTATTTAAAATATAGTGTCAGAAAAAAAGACAGTTTTAGTTGCTTGTTTTTATAATCTTCTCCGGCCTTGTTCCAGATGGACTCCCTCCGTCGAACTTCATCAATGAACAACTCGTTATTAAACTCAGCAATTTCATCAGTCATAATGATTAAAAAAAATAAAGAAAAACGCAGCTGCACTACACAACTTACCACTGGTAAAATATGCGAAACACTGACAGATATTTGACGAGAAGTTCAATTCCAAGCGGCGGTCGCCGCCGCAGGTCGAAACTTGTCGCGCGCATAAATGCGCTCATATCACTCCGTGCAGTTACAAAAACAAGCAGGAAGCTCCAACGCATTCGCGTCGGAGAGCGGCTCTGGCGACAGTAGTTGTAGTCAAGAATGAGGGCCTAGACACATTTTGTCACTGATGTACAATCCGACAACTGTCGATTCATGTTTTGTAACTTAGCAGATTTACGTAGCCGGTGTATAAATGTGTATTGGCCCTTGATATGCAGAATGCATGGCACTATCACTTGTTGTATACTTTTAATTTTGAAGGCTCTTTGAAGGTCCGCTTCCTAAAAAATTTCTCCCACAGTATTTTTTTTAACTTGTCGTTGTGATTGGGCGCCAATTTCTTTCAATTGAGTGATCATCTTCTTTTTTTGTCAAATAACTAGTTTGTGCAACAATAAGACTGAAACTGACTGTAACTGAAATTTTATCTTTTTAGATATTTGGTTATTTTGTATTTATCAGATTGTATATTTTCACAGCCCTGTGATAAGAAACTTTGGAATGCATGGTTGATAAGTCGTTTAGCGAGGCTGCAAAAAATTTGCATTTTTATATCTGAAATTGTAGGTAATGGTTTTGAATATCGAATTGCGATATATTACACGGTTAAGATAGGGCTATATGTCTTGTCGTAAGCGGCGACATAGAGTCGATGTCATTTCAATAATCGCCCCGATGGCCACGGT